TTAGAATTTCAATCTAAAAAGACTAACAAAATATACGTACTGCAAAAAGATTTGTAGCGACTGCTGCGATTCGCTACAGTTCTGTTTGCCTTTCTTGTATCTAAAGTAATAAAATGTTATTTTTATTATTATTATTTTATCTCTTGAAAGTCAACAAATTATGTAAGTATATTTAAAATTTCATAACTCTCCTATTTGGGTCATGAAAATTCATCGATTAATTTATTTTGCAGAATCTTTAAATCTTTCTCGTGTACAGTTGTAATTTTTGCAGATGTAGCCTTATTACTTCAACGGTGTGATTCTGTCCTCCTTGTCATAAGTAACGCATTTGCGTTTCGTTATTTTTCTAGATATTGCCATTTAAAGTTTTATTGCCATCTATAAAAAAATGTCAATTACGCTGATTTTGTTTAACAATAAAACTGAAAGTAAAAAGATATTAAAAAAACGATCAGAGGCGGTCGTATTTCTCTTTTTTTTATTACATCAAGAGACGGAACGAACTAGTCGCGTGACTGGTGGTAAGCTACACCTCTGTACATAACAGTTGCATGGCCACTCAGAGCTTTATATCGCAAACATCCTAAAGGCATAACTTGACAAGTCTAGATATCATCATTAACTGGAACAAACACGGACATATAAAAGTCACTAAGTGCCTGTAATTTCACCAGTATCCTTACTTTTCAAAACTGGAACGCAGTAATGCTAACATTACTACTTGGCAGCAGAAATAGGTAAGGTGGCAGTACTTCCCTGGACGAACTCTTTGGAAGGAGCTCTACTGCTACTGATTCTTGTTTCGGTGATCCCAGAAATGTTAAATTAAACTCAATTTCATTAAAAATGTTGGCTAAGTTGTTAAGCTTAATGTTGTAAAAAACTCGAGTCCGGGAGTCCTCATTTATAAACTTTTTTCAATTTTCCAGGGCTCGGTGATCTAAAACACTCACGAGTCCGAATGGAGTTGAGCGTGAGTAATCGGAGTACGTACTCGAGTCCAAAAAGAACTCGAGTCCAAAGGGAACTCGAGTCGTAAACCTAAGTCGAGCTGTAAACAAAACTCGAGTTCGAAAACTCGACTCGAAGCGACTTCTACTCTACAAAGTCTTGAGTACGGCAAGCAAGGTTAAATTTTACTGAACAGCTACTATTAAAAAAAAATCTCAATTTGGTGACTTTAAAAAAAGTACATAATTAATACTTAATTAAACTACAGTAATTGTACTACAGCTTGACACGCCCCAACACAATACCGCTCAGTAGGTACTTACCAGACTCCAGCTCCACTCGTTACATAAAAAGATTCGAACTCAAGCACGACTCGTTACATGAATAGACTCAAGCACTAATGTCGAATTCGAGTCTGTTCTAAAACTCGATAGTATCGTAAATCATCGAGCACTGGAGTCTCTGTCTTTATGAGTCGAGACTTGTGAATTGGAGTCGAGTTTAAAATGTAGACTTCCAGACTCGACTTTTTTACAATACTAGTTACAATAAGGAGGGCAGGATTGGGCCTTATTTCGCAACATTTTCATTCACAAACTATCCGATATGTTAAACAATCCTTTTCCGCACAATTGGTAAATAAACCAACTCTGCAAATAGGTATTCAAGAAAGCTTCTCACTGTCCATTAAACGTACAATTGACAGGTAGCATAACAAATATGTATTCAAAGACATACAACCATAAACCCTCAATGAATATCCATAACAAACGAACAATAGCTTTTATGGATCTTCTACGATGTTATTAATTCCATAGTGCCTGAATTTATTTTCTCACGTCATGTGCCCACATAATGTACTAATGAAAATTGACTTGTCTTAAGATAATCCTTTGCGGGATTGTCTCGTGCACGTACAACTTTGAACTCGTTGTTTTAAAGACAACTATGCAAGCCAAGTAAACAATTAAATTTTCCGACATACAAGTTAATAAGGTGGTTGACATTAATAGATATTTATTGGTAATAGTTTTCAATTTATACGAGTATACAGGGTTATTTGTAAAATACTGAAAGGGTGTCCGCACTTTTGGAACCGCTCAAGCATGTCCTGTAGACTGTAACGCAGCCTCCGCAGCCTCAACACATCTTGCTTAGCGAGTTTAAAGTTCAAAAATGAAAAGGAAAATGAAATAGTGGATATAAGTCCGGTTTTATAAAAAATATTTCACATGTGTATCGCACAAGAGATTTTTGATAACTGGTAAACGGGTCAAAAACAAAATGAGAATGGCGAGGCAAAGGAGTTAAAGAACGATTCAAAATTTGAAAACAAGTGTCCAGGAACCAGAGCAAAGGTGATAAAAAGGTGGGATTACAATGGAAGCAGGTCACATCCTTGCAGGACTGTATTACTAACATAAACAACAACTTTTGTTTCATGACTTTCAGTAATTCAAATGATTTTAATTTCACGCAAAAAAATAGATCGCTCTAAACGGTGACGCGCCCGGGAGGAGTAGCTTAACGACTTACTACGAAACACAGATCTAAAATGTGTTAGATACTTTAACAAAAACTTAAAAGTTTATTTGGCAAATGTATTATGTTTTGTAAAAACTCATGGAATAGTTATTTATAATGTTAGTAATATAGTCCTGTGAGGTTTTTCTTTTTTTTTCTCAATGACATCAAGTGACATGACGAACAAATTGTGCGATCTGATGATAAGCAACACGGCTTTCCATGACAGTTGCAATGCCACTCAGAACTTTAAATCGCAAATATCTGAGGGTCACTGTCACTCTGAGACATAAGATGATAAGTCCCATGTGCCCATAATTTCACCAGCACACTTCCATTCAAGATCGGAACGCGAACGTAGTAAAACTCACATTACTGTTTGACGGCCGAAATAGGTAGGGTGGCAGTACTTCCGGGCGGCGTCGTGGTGAATGTTCACTGATCCCACGGCGCCGACTCAACCGGCGAGAGGGAAACCCGGGGGGGTTTTAGTGGGGTAGGCCTTCCATTGTGGAGGGAGAGTCCCCACATAACCCCTGAGTCTCCCTGGGCTCAGGGGTATCCATAAAGATTTCCCCCCCGTCAAAAAAAAAAAAAAAAAGGGTGGCAGTACTTCACTGGACGAACTTTTTTACAAGGAGCTCCACTGCTACTAAAAAGGTTCTACTGGAGATCCAATTCGGAACTTCCTAATCTATCGCCCACAGTGTAAGCAGTTGCACCATCGAGGTCGACAAGATATTTTAATGTCATCAACGGCCGTGTTAACATTAAATTCAATATAAATTTGTATACTCAGCTAGTTGTGAGAATCGAATACTATAAATATGTATATTACTCGTATATCTCTGTAACCACATTTACTACGAATAAAACTTATCATTATCAGAACTCGGCAAATTATTTGGCAAACTACAATGTTTTCCAAACAATAGTTCGTATGGAGGGTATTAAATATTTTTCATGTAGTCGCGTTAGCAACTGTATCGTTTTTAAACAAATAATAATATAAAAAATAGCATTTTGAGAAATAGCTGCAAAAACGATTATTCAATTTTTGAAATCAGTCGAATGCACGATTCCTAAGACTAAACGCTTCCGAAACAACTATTAAGCAATGTGTGGAAAGATTTTTAATAAGCTACCGTGTCATACTAAATAAATCCCTTAGATCAGTTAAAACAGAGCTACGCAAATGGCTCTTAGAAAAGTATTTTTATTTGATTGACGATTTTTTAAATTTAAAGACTGATCCGTATCGATGCTTATTATGTTTATCTTGGTTTAGCTTATCTAATTTATTAATTAACTATACAATAATGTATTTTATTATTATATTTGCAGGCTTTTGCCAAGGCTAAATAGGATTACGTTCATCAATTGAATTTTAAGGCCAACATTTATAATGTACATACCCTATTTATAGCGAATAAATGAGAATTAATTTGATTGGGTTTGATGATTCTTGGCGTAATGTAATTATAATACACTTTACTGGGATGTCTAGTGTTTTGGTTTGACACGATAGAACTATTGATGTTGTGTACTCGTGGTAAACGCACCGGGTTTGAAAACTATGAACGAGTACCATGACTTTTCTCGAAGTGAAAGTGCTCTACTCTCGCTTTTGTTGTTTGTACACATCGCTGCCTGCCGGAATACTATAAATTGTGAAATAAGCATACAGCGACGAGGACAACTTTATTATAAATAAAGCACCCAACTATTTACGCCAACAAATATCTTATACGTAAAAAGATGGGTGTTTTATTGACGATAAAATTTCGCATGCTGTCCTCGTTGCTACATGCTTAATTCAAAATCTGCGATACTGCGTTATTGTGTTTTTTATAATGTCAAGTGAAGGAACGAACAAGTCTTGTGCCTGATGGTAAACGACACGCTTGTCTATAACAGTTACAGTGTCACTCAGAGCTTTAAATTGCAAAGATCTGACGTGCAATGCCTCTGCGCCCGTCACCCTGAGACATAAGTTGAAAAGTCCGATTTGCCTGTAATTTCATCAGCACCCTTACCCTTCAAAATCGGAACGCAGTAATGCTCACATTAGTGCTTGGCGGCAGAAATAGGTAAGTAAGTAAGGATGCACTTTTTCACAAGGAGGTCTACTGTTACTATTTATAACTTTGTTAGGAGAATTGAATTAATACAAGGTGGAAATTCATAACATGTCCCATCGACGATATAGGCTTAGCGTCTAGGGAACGAAAGTAGTGTTTGTCAGTGGCGGATCAGCGTTATTGACATTTTTTTACTAGCATAAAAATAACTATGTGCAAATATCTTGAAAGTTACCGAAATCCAATTTCATTACTTATGACAAGGAGGGCAGTTTAGTAAGGCATCTCACCATTACAGGCATAAATTTAATTTTACTTGGTATATTTATGATATTGAAAACGCTGCTGGTTTTCAATAAAAATATAAATAAAATTAAAAATTCTCGCCTTTCATCAACTAGCATTGATTAAAAAACTAATTTCTATATTTTTATTCTTTAGTCATGGCGACCAATGGCGCAGATTTCGCTCTAAAGTGCAACGTCCGATTCTCCAGCCGCAGACAGTAAAGAAATACGTCGCTCCGATCGAGATGGTGACTGAAGACTTCATCAGGTACATGGAGAAGGCCAGGGATGAGGATGGAGACCTGCCACATGAGTTCGACAATGACATACATCGGTGGTCCCTTGAATGTAAGTATATTTCAGTTCTTTTTTTCCAGAAATGGAGGCTCTTACTACGATCTTGGAAAGGTTCTTTGGTTCGCATTAGATTAAATTAGTGAAATGTGTTTTATACATACATACCCTCAAACTATTCCCAGTGTGGTAAGCAGAGACAACGAACCACCGCTTGCTATTCTCGTCATACATCTTTCGCTTTTTGCAATTTCAATATTTTGTAAAATATGACATAGTGCGTTAAATATTGTCTTAGAGGATGGAAAAAAGTAGTGGAAGAGTATTGTATAGGGTCAAGAGCACGTCAAGCTTGACACTTAAGATTTAAATCTAACTCTATGCCGCTTACGTCAAGACTGTGCTCTTGACTGTATGATTAAAAATCTATGAAAGAGAATTGACCTAACAAACGGAAAATAAATACAGTGCTAACTTTTCTGACAGGTGTTTTGTAAATAATAAATAAATAAAATAAAAATCTTTTATTGTTAGACACCACAACAAGGCCCATAGTTTGTTAGTAGTAGTAACCTTGTAATAGTAAATATAGTTTAGTAATTATTGATTATAGCGATATAAATACTTTGGAGATTTAAATCTTCAAAATCAAAATGGTTAAAAGTTACTACGAACGAAATCAACTGAATTCAAACATGATTAATATCGCCAAAATTAAAAATTAACTAATTTCCAAACACAATAAAATCAAATAAAAATTCCAAATTAACTAATAAAATAATAATAACAATTATAAAGCAGAACAGAATTAAAATGACACAAATTACAATAATAATTATAAGACTTAAAATATAATTATTTACCCTATATTTACTTGCTCACTATTTTTGTGTCCGAGGTGCATCTTTACAATGCGCTATGATAGTGGAATCATATAGCCCTGTTATCACCCTAAGGCTCAGCCATAGGCTCAGTTCACACTGACGCAGAGTCAAAGCGTCGCGTCCTGTTTTTCAACTACAAAAAGGTGAAGGTGAAGGCGCGCGTCGTCGTGCGTCAACAGGCGATTCCCTGTTTGCGTGACACGTATTTGTGCCTTAATAATGGGAAAATAGAGATGAATATGCTATAGGCGAAAAACATGTCGCGTCGCGACGCTTCGACTCATCATCTATGTGAGTTGAGCCTAAGAATGGTATTGGAACTGGTCCGCAGTTTGCAGAGCAGCGAGGCAGTTTTCTTTCGCACGATGGCCTGTGCAAACATGCCAGAAGCACTACAGAATCGAGGCAGCCTCAGCAACATTTAGGATCAACTCATACAGGCGCAGAGGCGAAGCGTCGCTTTGCGTCCTGTTTTTCAACTACAAACAGGCGAACGCGAAGGCGGCGAAGGCGGGGAAGGCGCGCGAAGGCGCGCGATTCCGTATATGTATAACACACATTTGTACCTTAATAATGGGAAAAAGGAGATGAATATGCTATAGGCAAAAACCATGACGCGTCGCGGTGCATTGGCTCTGCGCCAGTGTGAGTTGAGCCTTATAAGCTCATAAAGATTTAAACAAAAACAAAATATTTAAAATTCGCGACGCAACATACAGATTCAATATTGCCTTGTTTACCTTGATGGGACTATATGAATATCCAACAGGAAAAGTTCGAAATGTTTATTCTTTACTCATTATCTTTATGTATTTACCAATACTGTAGACACAAATGAAGTGTTTTCAAGTATTGAGACGAGTATTTCTTACATCGTTTACTTATCCTAAAGCGTACGCATACATAGCGTTGCGCAAGGATTAGCTAACGCCATCTATCGTCGGTTTCAGGTATCGGCCGTGTAGCGTTGGACGTCAGATTAGGTTGTTTATCATCGGACTTCAGTAGCAACCCTGAACCACAGCGTATCATCGATGCAGCGAAATTTGCGCTGAGAAATGTAGCTGTATTGGAACTGAAAGCACCATATTGGAGATACGTTCCGACCCCACTTTGGACTAAATATGTGAACAATATGAATTTCTTTGTCGAGTAGGTATTTTAACTAAAGTTTATGCTCAAAATTTTCTATTAATTTAAGATACGTAACTTACTTACTATACTTATAATGCGCGATAAGTGCGATTATTAGGGTTCAAAATGACAATTATGATTTATTATCATAATTGTCATTTTGACCTTGATAAAATTATCATAATAATTTTATTTATAAAATTTATTGGAACTACAGAATGCTACGGCTAGCAGTGTCATACCATATGTTTGTGTAACAGACGTATCCAAACGAATCTTTGTCCCAATCATTTTTCTCCGTGTTTAAATAGTTTTCTCACTGTTAGTTATTTTTAGTCAAAAATTAAAATGACAAAAGTAAGGATATGAATCAGCATGGATAATTATCAGATATATGTCGGATAATTATCATAAATGTCTTGATAATTTCAAACCCTGATAATTATACATGGAATTATTTAGCACCACGATTGATTAAATTATCACAATATGGACAAATGTTTGCACTAAAAGAAATTATTTTTAAAAGCAGTTTTTATTTTATTATAGGCTCTGCTCTCGCTACATCAACGAGGCTTTGGAACGATTGAAAACCAAAAAAGTGACTTCTGAGAATGACCTTTCCCTACTGGAACGTGTGTTGCAAAGTGAAGGGGACCCTAAGATAGCAACTATCATGGCACTCGATCTGATCCTTGTTGGAATTGACACGGTAAGGAAAAAAAAATTGTATGAAATATTTTGTAAGTATCATTTTAAATAGCAAGTGGGCAGGTTTAATCAGTTCGCTCTCAAATCAATCTTATTTAATCTTCTGTATGGTTTCAAATGGCAAACCTGCAACAAAATTTAATGTGCCATTATCAATAGTGGCACATTACATCAAAACAAAACAAACAAAACTCAAGTTTTAAACTGTGAAAGTATCATCAATCAGAATCATCACTTACTTTATCTTGATTTTGTTAATAATGACTACTCAAATTCGTAAATTTTCTTGTATTATAAAATTATAGATTCGTGATATATTATATAAAAAGCAATAACTTCTTTTTTCATTAATTTATTTCTAGATATCAATGGCAGTATGTTCCATCCTGTACCAAGCAGCAACAAGATTGAAACAACAAGAGAAAATGGCAGAAGAAATCAAACGAGTCCTACCGGATCCAAGCAAACCTATCTCTTATGCCGATTTGGATAAGTTACATTACACTAAGGCTTTCGTTAGAGAAGTTTTCAGGTACTCAATATTTATTTACGTTACCTTTAAGAAAAAATACACTGTTTTGATCTAATTTATCAAATTTTTTGGTTATTTTTTGTTCGTATTTTTATTGATTTTCATTATAGTATGCCACGAAATTGATTTTCTTTGTAATTATAATATTATAAAATGCAATTTAAATATTTTTTATATGTTTTAGAATGTATTCTACAGTCATCGGTAATGGCAGAACATTGCAAGAAGATGACGTTATTTGTGGATATCATATTCCTAAAGGTGTAAGTAAGATTACTGATTGATTCCAATATAACATTATAAAATAGATCTCTGCATTAAAATGTGAGTAATCCTACATCCGAGACAGCCAAAACTAAATAATGCTTAGTAAAAGTAGTTAGATGAAACAAATATTATACATTGCACAATATATCTTTATTGTACTTTCAAATAAAAAAAATTGCAAATATTCTGATTACAGGTTCAAGTGGTATTCCCCACGATAGTGACTGGTAACATGGACCAGTTCGTCTCCGATCCTAAAGAATTCAAACCGGAGAGATGGCTTCAGTCAGATGGTAGACTACATCCATTCGCATCTCTTCCTTATGGTTTTGGAGCCAGGATTTGCTTAGGTCGGCGGTTCGCCGACCTTGAGATACAAGTGTTGTTGGCAAAGGTAAAAAATACTACTTCACTTTTTCCTACTTTAAAGTAGGAAAAAGTGAAGACTCAACGCCGCTCCATGTTCTGTCCTGGCCCGTTACTGACTATTTTGTCTTATAAATAAGAACTCAGTAGTGGCTGCAGGGAACCAGATGAGAATGCATCCATAATATTTGTGTTCTGTTCCAGTTGCTCCGCCGTTATCGACTGGAATACCACCATGAGCCCTTGGAGTACGCTGTCACGTTTATGTACGCACCTGACGGGCCGCTACGATTGCGCATGATTGAACGATAGATTTATCTCACATTGACATAATATGGTTTACAAGACGTAGATAATGGACTCTCCACCAAATTAAACTTTGTTTTTATAATGTATTTGTTCATTTATTTATTCAATTTAGTTAAACGAGCGTTTCTTTCTCAAAGTAATATAGTTAATCTTGGTCACCTCACACGTCCCGTAGACCATATAAATGTTATATCAATAGAAATATAGTTTATTGATCGTTATGAAGCTATAACGTTGATAATATGTTACAATTATTAATGAATATGTTATTATTGTAAAATTCTGTACACGTGTATCGTCTGCTTAAAGGTAAAACCACATACTTTTTTTTTACTTTTCCACAAAAATTTTCAAATTATGTAAGAAATTCACCATCTTTCTGCAGATAAAGCTGTCATTAAGTTTGTAGCTTTTTTGTTATTGAGTTTCACGTGCCGAAAGATAGTGATTTTTTTACCATGGCTATATAAATTAAAGGCTTTTTGTGGGTAATGTCACTTATTTGGTTTTACCTTTAAACAGTCGATATAACAAGCAATAAGCATTCATGGTTATAAATATAAAAATATTAATTTCTACGGTTTATATAATATAGCACACAATCCATACTGTAAATAAAATGACACATTTAAATGTTGACAATAAGATAGTAATGATAGTAGTAGGATGTTCTGTCAGTTCAATCGTTTGAAAGTCGAATAATGAGATATGTCGGACAAGGTTCTTATCTTATCTTTGAAGATAAATGTTGAGTCCCCTGTTAACCTATCAGGCTAGTGATAAACTCTTGTCTGAATTTTCTCTTTAGGAAGATTGGTTAATAGTGGGTCGTACGTAGACGTATAATAAATATATATATTTATGTAGGTGATAGGTGAGGAATCAAATTATTTCCGTGTTGTTTATATTGTAATATTTGACTAAAAAAAATGTTTTATCAAAAAGTCCAGTTTCATTCAACATTTGATTTTTACTACAATATATTTAACTGAATACTGGTTGAAAAATATCAGAGTTTACAGTGATAAATATTGTTATCCTGTACTTTATTAAGTAAGTAATTAATAATTAGAATTTTATGATTTACAATTTCCCTACAACAATTAAGTTTACACTATAAAGAACCGACAACCTACTCGATCGGATATTTCGCAGGAACGAGTAAGTCGAGAATTGTAACGATAATTCAATAGATGTCGCATCGCAGAATATTTCATAACAAGTAAGATAGATGGCGCACCATTATCGTAGTTTTGGAAAGTTCAGAAAACTTCCATAATTTTTTTAAACATGCGTTTTATAATTGTTTTAAGTAGTTTTGTGACGAATTGATTTTTAATTACAAATGATTTATAACTTTACGTTATAATCGATTTGTTATATGGACGTTTGTAAGGGCTATGAAGATATTTTATTACTACATAAAATTTTATAAATCTGTGAAGGTGACAGACAATAAAACGCCAATAAAAAAATGTAAATTTATTTCGGGTGTGGCATTTACATTTCGAAACGGCATTTACACAAACACATATAATCAAGGCTATCATATCATATATCATAATCATGGTTAGTCTCAAGGAAGGAGTGTGAAGGAAGACAATGCACCTCTACTTGCTACACTTCAAAGATGCCTCTATAGCTTTTTTATAAGCATCAGTCTTTTGATACACGCCCATTTATTCTTTATTACCTTTGACAATGTCTAATATAAATAAATAAATTAAATGTAAACATTTGGCGATTGAATAATTGTAATAAATTATTTTAAAAAATCACAGTTGATATTTTGAACGGAAAATTTTTTTAAAACTAATGTCTGTTGTGGAATTCTTAATTGTTTTTTGTTGTAAATTTATACATATTAAAAATAATTATAAGGAATTGATGTTTTATTTTGTACCAAGACAGATTTTTGGTGATTGATTTGAAGGCTAGTCCTATTTTGAAAAATTAAAATTCTTTAGTAGTTTTTAACATAAGTTTAAAGGATTTATTTAGGCTATGCCCAAGTTGGAACACGCAGTCTGGGAATAAAACTACATGGATCTAAAACTTATCGTGAAGGTCAAGGAGAGTTGTCTTTAGGAATCAGGATTCCATTAAATGTTAATGTTGTTTCCATTCGCTATGAAACTTTCACATTATTTGAAAACCAAACGGTGTTTGTATTCATACTTAGATAGCGTCTAAATTTTAATTCTATTATTTTTTTGTTAACACCAAAAGTTTGTATTTTATTCTTTTTATCGCTGACAAACCGGTGTTCAAAAATATCTAGATATTTATGATTATCTGATAATTTATCCGATATATACCTATGCGACATTTATCGATGTTGATTTGTGGCTTTGTCTCTTTAGATTTTGACTAAAAATGACAAACACTGAGAAAACTAAACAAACACGAAGAAAACCTTTGCGAAAATCAAAGACTACGTACATACATATAGAAGTTCATAGACTTATATTGTTGGGGAAAACGATTTGGTTTGTGATTTTTTGACATTGACACTTGATGTGTTTAAGGTTTGGAGACCTCTTTGATACAAACACATGCCACTACATAGATAGCGGTAGTATTTTTAAATTCGGGTTTCAAAATTCGACTGCATGTTTTCTTTGTATGTATTAAGAAGAAGAAGAATTATCAGAATCGGTTCACAAATGATGAGTTATCACGGTTACGATGATATAATATAATAATATATAATATAATAAAATATATATAAGATGATAACTCATCATTTGTGAACCCTGATAATTCTTTTTTTCGCTGGAAAGAGGGTACCTCAGTAGTGCTCGCATTTCAATTTGAAGAAAATATTCCACCCTAAGGGTGACAAACTAGGGGATAAAGACTTTTGTAGTAAATTTTTTTAGTACTTTGTACTGATTATGTTGTTCCAATTGTAGTTTGCTTTTAACATAAGTACACACGTATCTAAATTTCACAGCACCTACTTTCCCTCCTTGCACCGCATAATAAGTTTACAATAACACAATACAGATATTGCGACAATACAAAATAAGCCATTGTTAAAATAGAAACTTAGAATGAGGTTGGTGGTTTGTATATGGGCACTTAAATAATGTAGAAGGAAACGTTGTTCCGCTCGATTACTCTAACGTTCGTGCGTGCAGGAACGGCTTTAAGATGCAAGATCGAGCCTGTAACAAAAATTAAACTACAAAGTAAATATCAATCTGCTTTGACAACTTGACTGTCCATAACGGTTGCTTTAAATCACAAAGGTCCGAAGGGCACTGCCATTGCGTCTGTCATCCTGAGACAGGTTAACAAGTTGACAAGTCTCATGTGCCTGTAATTTCACCAGTATCCTAAGGTCAAGACACACTGAACGAGCAGAGACGCGCAACGGCCGGAGGAGCTATAAGTCTTGAGCGGCCACGCGGCTGCGCGTGATGTTGCACGGTACATTCTATCACTTCAAACCAATTTGAACTTGTCTTTAGAAAATAAGAGTCCAAATTCACTGAAAATCAGCGTCTCAGCCTTTTCTCGGGGCGGTGACAATAGCCGAGTGCCGCACACATGACATTCACTCTAATTGTGTTAAATATTTAACGTTTGCTTTGTTGTTGTGTATGATTTTATTTTTATTTCAGTTTTTTGTTATTTTATTTTAATTTTTTGTTTTAATTTAGATTCATCTTTCTTACTGTGTATTTTTGTGTTGTGGCGTAGTAATAAATGATTTCTATTCTAATATTTCAAATGCTAAGTAATACTTTGCACTAAAAATGCTCCTCCGGTCGCTGCTCTTTTAGTGTGGCTTGACCCTTCCTCTTCAAAACCGAAATGCAGTAATAAGTACCTATGTTGGCAGCACTTCCCTGGACGAACTCTTTCGCAAGGAACTACTACCACCAAAACTATCATAATATATACATATAAACTATCACAATTTTCCAATAAAAATAAAAATTCACTAGATCCGGTCACTCTTACCTACCTACGTATAAACATCATAATATACTTTTTAAACATATACATTGTATTACATTTTAAAATTGCGAAATCGAAGTGACACATTTACAGGCGCACCTTGGACGAGATATTTTATGTCAAAATGTTAAGTAATTAAGAAATAATAAAATTATAGGCAACCTGTATTTAGAAGAATCTGTAGTGGAGATACGTGGAGAAAGTACAGCGGATTTTAGGTACTTAAGTCACGAATGAAATTAGCGGTGTACGTTAATCGTTCGGGCTTTGTTTGAATGGGAAAATTCTCTCTATTATAGTATAGTGCTGTTTTTTTTTATAATCTGAATAATGCCCCTTTTACCCCTTTTTTATCGACTTCAAAAAAGAGGTGGTTCTCAATTCGTCTTTATTTTTGTACGTATGTTACGCGATTACTTCGAGATTTAATTTTGTGAACCGATTTCAATGATTCTTTTTTTATTGGAAAGGGTCCGTAAGAAATACAGTAGTGGTCCGACTCAAATTTGAAGAAAGTACTCCACCATAAAGGGTAACCTAAGAACATATTCCACCTGTGGCAATTTAGGGGATGAACCCGGTATATTGGATTTCATCCACTTTCCGTAAACTAATTTCATTAAAACTAGGCAAATACATGTGATTCCACAAACTTTTGAGGTCGGGTTTAAAAAAAAAATATTCAAAATTAAGATTTTCATAAAAATAAGGTACCTAATTGTACATTAGCTTATTTTAACGAAAATGTTAATTTTTAAGCTATTTTTCCGGATGTAAAATCTGGTATGTCTATTCGCGTTTTTTTTTCAAACAATGTTTTCCGCTATTTACTGGTCAATTATTTGTCTGTCGTTGTAATTTTTAAATTCAATTATTCGTTCATTCTTTTTACACGAATTGTTATAGTACATAGATATCGTTGGTTTAAATATATTACGTTTTGAGTTTCTTAATTATTTGTTATCATTTTAAGCTGATGGCGTACTCAATGCTCAGTAAATAAATAATATTAACGTTCGTGCATTATTTTATTAATTACTCAGTGTATAATATTTGAAAATAGAGGTTAAAATCGCTACATTTTACAAAATGTACCACACTAAACCATTTGGAATGTCTACAACCAATTGAGATGTAACACGTCCGAGTAAATATTTATCGAGAAAATATTTAAACTGCTAGTTATATTTGGCAAAGTTCTATTTACTTGCGATATATTTGTGCTTTCCGAGAAATACATAAAAGTCTGAATGTTACTTTAATTTATTTAAGTGACATCACCTTTGTAACATTTTGGGTATTTAAAACACACGTTGTTGAGTAATTTACCCAAATGTTGGTACTACTTCTTTTCTAGTCAGTAGAACTT